ACACAGTTATGTTTTCAAATGCTCTTTCAATACGGATAAAATTCAACTCATACCTCACAGTAACTTTTTTATGGGTTAGATCGGTAAACGAGCAGACGGATCACCTGATGGTACGCAATTGGCGCCGCCCATGGACACTTGAAACACCAGAGGCGATACGAGAGCGTTACCGGCCTTTTGAGAATTGGGAATTTGAGGATTGTGGGGGATTCGCGGATTGGGGAGCCTGGGGATTATTGTAATTGGGCCTCCGGTAACCTCACTCATACGACGAAATACAACGCAAGCGTTGTCTCACCTCCATTTTCTGTGAGGCCGTGGTATCACTCCGGTCGAGCCGGCCCATTCGTGCCGAAGCATGGCTCACCCACACTCCCAAGTACCTTATTCTATCCAAGTAACCAAATAAAATAGACTAAAAAATTCGCCCATCTTTTTTAAAGTCTTTAAAACCTCAATTTCTCCAAATCTTTTAAAGTCTCGTACTATAACTAATGTCGATTACGATTGAGATAGAAACTCTATTAGTGCGAGGTGAGCCGTGAAATCGCCGCCACCTTGCAGACTAAAGATTATCATTGCAAAACTGCATATTAGGTAGGTACCGATTTTGTGGCTTGAAATATGCGAGAGGTTACTTTTTTAAGTTTTATTTTTTGGGGATTTTAATGTGATTTGGATCATTGATTGTGTTCAATGGTCGAGATTATTTGGCTTTTGTAGTTAAGTTAAGGTAAGAAGACAGGAATGGGAGACACTGGAGTAAATTGTAACAATTTAACTATGTTTTTTTAACAATATTGTGTGTTTGCATAAATAAACGTTGTTGTTATTTAATTAAAGTTCTTAATCAAATGGCTATGTTGTATTAAGATTTACATTGTTACTTTCATTCGAAATGAAACAATCCATTGGGTACTTGCCAACTAGTCAAATTCAATACTTTTTTCGAACTGCCAAAAACGACAGTTTTCTATGAATTTTGTACGAGATTGTGTATTGTGACGTCACGTTTTTTTAGCGTCAAACAGCATAATTATTTCTTAAAAATTGCTGGAAAAGTATTAACTCGTTGAGTACCGTCATTATAGACACAATTAAAGAACAATAGATTGCGGTCACCGGTGTCCTCGTGGGTGTTTGACAGTTTAAATTAAGTTGTTCAGTAAATCGATTGATGAAAGTGAGATTATTTTTTATAATTTTATTGTATTGAACAGTCGAAATAATGTATTTTAGAATAAGACAAGTACCCAATTTTATTTGCCACATTCAAATTACTTAAATTGAACTTAAAAGCTTAACGTAACTTAACTATAGGCTTAACTTATACCACAAACATTTCAACAAAGATAACACTAGAATCGAAGTCATTCTTGTCAGTTTAACCATTTAAAATATTGACATTTTAAAAGTGGAATCGAATAAAGTAGGATAAGTGCGCAAGCGCAACGATTTATGATAATTTCTGTTTTGTCGCTAACTCTGAGAGGCTATTTATGTCAAGAAGTGTCAGTTACAACTATAAGATTTACCTACATTTGTTGTGGGGGACACGGTGTTGGGACGAATCGATTGCAGTTTTCGAATCGAGTTGGTTATTCGATTTTGTTTTGTTTCTCGATATGATTTTGGTGTTTTATTCAAACTACTTGTAATATTTTCCAAAGAAATGATAGGTAGTAGCCAGTTGTTTAGCCTCTGTGCCAACCGTAAAGTCATATCCTATTAATATATTCCTAAATGCGAATGTTTGTGTACAATTGTACATGCATTCAGCTTCTAAATTGAGTACTTGCCAACTAGTCAAATACAATACTTTTCTCGAACTGTCAAATACGACAGTCTTGTATGAATTTTGTACGAGATTGTGTATTGTGACGCCACGTTTTTTAAGCGTCAAACCGCATAATTATTTCTTAAAAAATTGCTGGAAAAAATACTAACATTAAGTTGGTCATAAATAAGACCAATTAATGAAAGTGTGATTATTATTTAATACTAGCTGTGCCCGCGACTTCGTTCGCGTGGAATAGTGACTATGAGCAGCGTTTTTTTTTAAATATATACTTATTTTTATTTTGGATCATAATCACAGTCATTTTGTATGTATAAGCATAGAATAGTGTTCGACGTGATTCTTTAATTTGACATAACTTTTTTATTTATGAACCGATTGACATGAAACAAACACTAAAGCATAACTGAAGCATACCACAATATATTCGTGAAAACCGCATCCAACTCGGATCAGCCGTTTCTGAGATTAGCGTGAACAGACAAACAGACAAAAAAAAGTTAATTACATTTTTGGGTTCGACATCGACATAACAATAACCCCTGCTATTTTTTTATTTTTATTATCAATGTACAGACAGCACTTTTCTACAATTTTATTATATGTATAGATAGAAGATTTTATTGTCTTAAACATTCAAAATAATTTATTTTTGATTAAGGAATGTACCTAATTACTAAATTAATCTGAACATAGTATAAAGATTGATCTGGAATATTATAAATTGTCCATGTTGTGTTCCATTTTGTCCCGATAATGTGGACAAAGTCACTGGTAGAAGCAAAGTTCTACATAAACGACTATCGAACAACACCTTTTTCTATCGAATATTTTCATTTCGACATACGAAAGCACCTTCTTAGGGCCCTGATAAGCGGTGTTCACACGAACACATTATCAATATTTGCTTTGAAAGATTTTAAAGTAATTGCCTAAGTTAACGTGGTTAGCGGTAAACGGAACGTGTTGTGACGCCACAAACTTGAATTTTGTCTACTTTAACTTATTTTTTAAAGAAACCGCTAAGTTATTATAGTTTTATGAACGTTCAATATTTATTTTTTGTGTGAGTTGATGTTCTGTGAGAAGGTTTTAAAGTGTTAGAAATATGTATGTAGTTGTTATAAGTTGCTTTTAAAGGAATATCTTGTATTCGTGTTAAAATGTTGGAATCGATTTTTTATTTTTTATTAAATTATTTATTTACATAACATCACGCCTTTTATCCCCAAAGGGGTAGGTAGAGGTGAACATTATGCCACTGCACAATGTAACACCCACTTTTCACTATTCATGTTATGAGTCCCATGTAATAGAGGGTGAGCCTATTGCCATATACCGGGCACAATTCCAGACTCCGTGTTACTACTGAGAATTTTTTTAAAACCCAGTTTTACTTTGTCCGACCCGGGAATCGAACCCGAGACCCATTGCCCGACAGTCGCACTTTCGACCACTCGGCCAACGAGGCAGTAAAATATGTTTTTCTTTTTATTAAAATTGAACTTTTTTAAATCCAATATGTTCCAATTCAACTGTTTTACATTAACTTGCTCCACTCAAGACCGAAAGTAAGAAAATCTAATAAAAAGCCAATATTTTTTAATATATCTCTAAAATGATCAAGTCAGACTTAAAATAAAAAAAAACATACCAAAAAGTTTGTAAACCAACGCATCGCGTGTCCACACCCCATAAGGTTGGCAACACTGACTAATTGTGTTACCAACTTACAACCAAGCGATCCATTTCCGCTTTTACCATTTCTAAGTGGCTTCCGGTCGTTTTTAATACAAATAGTCGAGAGATTTAAAATGGCCTGAATTAAGTTGTATTGTGGCACCCTTTGAAAAAGTTTAGTATTTTAATTTGAAGGGTATCGGGTTCCATTCCCGGGTAGGGCAATGTGTTTGGACCTTTGTAGTGTTTATAATAATCTGCTCATCCTCGTTGGCCGAGTGGTCACAAGTGCCACTGCTGGGCAAGGGGTGTCGAGTAAAGTATTATAGAGATTTAAAAAAAAGTATCAGTACCGGCACGGATCATAGAATTGTATCTGGTATATGTCAATAGACTCACCCCCATTACATGGGACTCATAACATAAATAATAAAAAGTGCGTGTTACATAATACAGTGGCAATAAGTGCCGTAATCTACACCTCTGCCTACCCCTTCGGGAATGGAAGGCGTGATGGTATGTTATATTATAAATATGTATCAATGCAAGTATTACATTTGTCATTAGCTCTACTACTCATACGAGTATTATTTGTTTGACATAAACCGGACAGAAGGGCTGTCTAATACTTTGATATACGTGTAAGCTATGGCAAATCGTTTTATGTAGAGGAACTAAGTCTATCGCTGAGTTCATCGAATAATGTACCGGGGCGTATTTCATATTATTTCTTTAGCTCTTAAACACAATCCTAGCTCCTACATCTTCTACTTGTTATAATTACTTAATCTTAAACACAATCCTAGCTCCTACATCTTCTACTTGTTATAATTACTTAATCTTAAACTGTCAAACACCGCGAGGACTCCGGTGACCACAACCTATTATTCTTTAATTGTGTCAATAATGACGGTACTCAAAGAGTTAATTACATAAAATAGCATAACTAAGTACAACTTCATACCACTTAAACTGTCAAACACCAAGCGGTCACCGGTGACCGCAACCTATTGTTCTTTAATTGTGTCTATAAATACGGTACTCGACGAGTTAAAACAGTTAAACCATACCTGAACAAATATTAGCAATTAAAACAACCAACAAGTGCTAATTAAACCTCATGGAAGCAAAAAAGGTCCACAATATGAGAAGGTTTTCATCAAGCACCATTGACCTCGCAACAGGGACTGATTACGTCACAAATCCTATCTAATTACACGATGACGTAAACATCGTTCCCTCCTCTATTTAACCGTTGAATGCGCTACCCCGACGGAACTCCGGTGCACGTGCAACACTCAAGGTCCTACAACCCTTTACACATCCTCTCAAGCTTGCAATTAAAACGAAAAACAGAACGAAACAACGCCATACTTATTCAACAAGCCAGAAAGAGACAACACGCCTCATTTACCCAAGCACTTTTATTTCCACTTGCACTTGAGAGGTCGTCGGCCAATCAACGGTCGTGCCGCGCCCGCCTCGCATTGGTCCGTTTGAATAGAGAATATTTTTTCGAAAAATGGAACAAAAGCCGAGGGTAGGTAATAGCGAGTTTTGTTTTATTCAAGTGGCATTTCGCATTTGAGTGGTGGAGGCCGCATCGAGCGGACGTCTCGACTTTTAATTACCTTATATTTTTTACCGACTTCAAAAAAAGGAGGAGGTACTATGTTCGGCTGATTGTTTTTTTTTTTTTTTTTTTTTTTTTTTTTTGTTTGTTCGCGCAGTACTCCGCCGTTTGTGGACCGATTTCGAAAATTTTTGTTTCGTTTGAAAGGGTATACTCCCGAGATGGTCCCATTTCCATGAAGTCAGGATCTGATGATGGGATCCTAGGGAAACCGAGGGGAACTTTCGAAAATTCTATGGGGGAGTAATGCGTCTATTATGTTTTTCAATTATGGATTTCAAACACTACAATTTAATAAGGGTCTGGAGTCGACCTGATGATGGAGCCGACAGACAGTCGAGGGAACTCCTCAGTGGTTTATATTAACTACCTTGTGTTTGGGCTTAATTAATTTGTATTGATGAGGACTTTACACCTAGATAGAGTGGGGCTGCCATTAAGGGTCTGATGATGAAGAAGTGTAATTGTTAAGGGAACTCCTCAACGGTATACAGTAACTACCTTGAGTTTGGGCTTGATTAATTTGTATTGATGAGGACTTTGCACCTATGTATATTATAAGTAACAAAACGGGTATATGTAGCTTTACACTGAAAATGGTAAAATAATAAAATAAAAACTGCGTTTAAAAAACCGACTTCAAAAACCAAAAACTAATAACAAACAAAAAGTCAATACTAAAAAGCAAAAAATAACTATTATTAGTACTGATAGGTTACCCACCCACTGATAGGTTAGAAGTCGGTGCCATAAGCTCATATCATAATGATATAACTTAATGTCCACAAAATTGTGAATTAGATACCTATTAAGGTTTTTATGAATAATTTTGTATGGAACTTATGGCACCGACTTCTTACCTATCAGTGGGTGGGTAACCTATCAGTACTAATAATAGTTATTTTTTGCTTTTTAGTATTGACTTTTTGTTTGTTATTAGTTTTTGGTTTTTGAAGTCGGTTTTTTAAACGCAGTTTTTGCTATTGTTTCTTTGAGGACTCTCGTGTGTTAAGCTGGCTTTTCATTTTATGATGTTCAACATTGTTATTTTATTACACGGAACTCGTTTAGTACTTCAGTGTGGGGGCTTATTACAAAACAAGTAAATTAGCTATGTTTATTTCTCAGTAACCACTATCCTGTGTTTGTCAGGAACTGTCGACATTCAAGTGTTTGTGCTGCGACTACGGGGTACATTTCACTCTTTATACCTCTAGTTTGCGTAAAGGATCGTGTATGTTGTATCCTGTTGGTTATTTTTACTTACATTGTCGAATGCTAATCAGTTAATAATTTAAGGAGAATAGTAATAATAGTTTACTAAAGGCTTTATTAACGTACAGATTTATGGTTATGTAGACACTTCAAATTTCTTTTTAATGATAGTTTAGGTGCCTCAAATTTAAAACTGTATATTATTTTATGAAACTCTTTGGTTCAAATTTTGGTTGTAGATGTTGTCTTGATTGAATTTATATAAAAAACTAGCTTTTACAAGCGGCTTTGCTCGCGCCACATAAGAATAAAAAGTATCCTATGTGGCATATAGCAATACACACAGCGCCATCAATTTTTTCCGGGCTAAAAAGTACCCTATTATTTAATCCGGACCGGATTGGATATTTTCGGACATATCCAATATCCTTACTAATATTATAAATCTGAAAGTGAGTTTGTTTGTTTGTTTCGCTTTAACGCCGTAACTACTGAACCGATTGCTTTGAATTTTTGCAGACGTAAAGTTAGAAGTCTGGATTAAATAATAGGGAAAATTTTTATCCCGGTATTTTTATTTTTATCCCGGAAAAATTTGGTATTCTCGAGGGAAACTAAATTATTGGTATACCTCGATGGCGCTGTGTGTATTAGCATATGTCATATAGGCTTTTTATCTTTTTGTTATGCGTGCGAAGCCGCAGGGGTAAAAACTAGTAAGAATATAAATAATTAAATAAATACTCATTTAAATCTCTCTTCTTTACAGGAACCTCGCCGCTCCCCGTCCACCGACGCAACTCGGTAACACGTCATTGGAAACCTTCACGGCGCTGCACAAAGAGAACTGCCACAGACTAGAGTTCCTGGTTGAACGACAGAAACAACTGTGCATGCTGTCTGATACTATGATTAAGGTGAGACTATGAGACTATAGGTTTTACATCACGCCTTTTATCCCCGAAGAGGTAGGCAGACGTGCTCATTACAGCACTTAATGCCACTGTACAATGTTGGTATCACGCACTTTTCACTTTTTTATGTTATGAGTCTCATGTAATAGGGAGTGAGCCTATTGCCATATACCAGCCAAAATTCCGGACTCCGTGCTACCACTGAAAATTTATAAAAACCCAGTAATACTTTGTCCGATCTGGGAATCGAACCCGAGACACCTTGCCCGGCAGTCTCACTTGCGACCACTCGGCCAACGAGGCACAATTTTTTTAAAGGTCAGAAACGTAAGCTATGTATTAAGTACCTGATGGTAAGCAATCGCCGTCGCTCATGGAAACCGCAATATTAGAGGATATACTAGTGTGTTGTGGCTTCTTTTAGAGGAGATGGATACAGCGAAATATAATTTAAGCAAGGAACACAAGGAAAGTTGTTTCATGCCTTGTCTTTATGAGGCTGTGGTGTTAGTCCTCTCTAGCAATCCCTTATTTGTTATCGATTTAGTAGCGATGTGGTGACTTAAAAATCAAGTGAAGTATATAATAAGTTGATTACTAACGAATACTAATCTTTTAACAAAAAATAATGAGATAAAACTCCTTGAGTGAGACAAATATAGCACAGCGTGTTTTGAATTAGCAAACACATCCTTATCCTATCAACTTTTAAGTATATTTTTAAAAACACAATTTGTTATACTTTAAAGTTTTATTGTGCCCTAGAAAAACGTGTACTCTTAAACAAGTCGAGATCGTAAATATATTGCATATGCAAGTCCGTGCATAAACAATGATTAGCTCCAATACTTGTGTTATTGTGTGGGCCAGTTGCATGGATGATAGAGCGAATGGAGGGAATAATCCCTCCACAAAAAAGAACACGAAATAGGAAACAGTACAAAACTGTTTCCTATTTCGGAAGACAGATACGTTGGGAGTCATGATTTATCGTTACATTTAAATTATAATTTGTAGGTATATTTGTTTTTCAACTTTCTGAAGAGAGCGGCTATGTAAGCGAATATGAAATTAATCTGTAATGTAAATTAAATGTAAATATCACTACATTGTGCTATAATCTATGTTAAAACGTTAAAGGTGTCGGTTAGCTATTCCGGTAGCTAACTTTAAGAAATGGATCGTACGCAATACTTTGTATAATAATAAAATGACAAGACAACAATTAAAATGTAATATTAAGGAGATTTTTTTGCATGCAAATATTAAACAAAGAATACAGTACAACATGTATTGAACTCCATTGACTCACGACTCCGTATAAATCGCCTACGCTTGTCACTTCGAGTCGGAAAGTAAGTCAGTTCAATCCTGCCTGCATAAATAACTCGATTAGCTAGAGGTGCTCATACGTGAAAGGAGTTAAGGCTTGATTTTACACTCCATTCCATATAGCTTTAGGGTTCCCCTATGTGAATTTTGTCGCCTTATAAGTGAAGTTACTGGAGGCAAATCCCGAAAATACCGGTAACGTACTTGCGCTGCGCTCATTCATCAGGTGATCTCTCTACTTGTTTGCCATTATATGCTACAAAGCTAGTTCAAACAGTTTAGTTATACACGATCACTTTGACAGTCCTTTAGCAGAGTAAATTACATTTTGTTTATTGATGCAGCATGTCGTAAGAGCCGACTATTGGCCTAAATTAATGACTAATCTCAATTCAAAATATTCGTTTTCTGTCCAAAACCTGGATTGATTCGAAGATTTTATCCGTAATTGCTTTTTTATTTTGAGGGGGGAAAATCATCCAATGACTTCTCTCGCCTTGGCTTAGACGAGAGGCAGTATCAGACTCTTACCCCGTTCCTACTCCTGCTCTTCGAATCGGAGCCCCGGCAACCCGTTAGGCCTTACGCGGCTCCGTATCGGGCACCAGCCCTACTGGGCCCCATCTGTGGTGGTCTGATGACAATATGAAACACGCGCGTGTGACGCCAGACAACCTTTGGATGAATTTATTGAAAAGAATCTGGGAATGGGTGGTAGATGCACAATAAAAGAAAACAAAAATAAAACAAATTAACTCGTCGAGTACCGGTTTTATAGACACAATTAAAGAACAATAGGTCGCGGTCACCGGTGACCGCTTGGTGTTTGACAGTTTAAACAATCAATAAAACTTACAGACTACATATAATACATACTAAAATGGCATAAAAAATGGCCAATACATAAACATAACATCACGCCTTTTATCCCCGAAGGGGTAGGCAGAGGTGCACATTACGACGCTTAATGCCACTGTACAATGTAACACCCACTTTTCACCATTTATGTTACCCTTAGGGGGAATAGGGGGTGAGTCTATTGCCATATACCGGGCACATTTCCAGACTCCGTGCTACTACTGAGATTTTTAAAAACCCAGTAATACTTTGCCCGACCTGGGCATCGAACCCGAGACCCCTTGCCCGGCGGCAGTCGCACTTACGACCACTCGGCCAACGAGGCAGCATACTATGTGCAATATTATGTAATAAATATATAAAATGTTACTTAAATGTATCTTTAGCTTATATTCATATAGTAAAACAAGTCTATAGAACTGGTACGCAATAAAATTTAACTGATGAATAAAAGTCTAATACTAAAGGAACTACTTAATATTAGATGCAGCTTTTATGAAGTAACATTATAAGATTACTATAAAATCATACTATTATCGGGAGTAAAACTGTAGTTTGTCTTACGCGTTTTAAGTGTGAAAGAATATTTGAAAATAAGAAATTTGATTTTGTTGTTATGTAATTTTAAGACTTAGACCTTTTTGAATCTCGATGACATTACAATGTGATTCATAAATTGCCTGACAAACTGGTTGATTCGTTGACCCATTTTTTATTGTTTAGCAGTGGACTTAGCGGCTGATCATAAAATAAAAGGTTACATTTTTATTAGATGTTTATCATAATGTCAGAATCATTAATAATAGATAGGTACTGCTCGAAACGTCGTATAATTGAGGTAGCTATCAGTTAATTCTTAAGTTATGGTTAGGTGGAGCTAGGTCTTCTTTGATGTTCATCCATGTAAAATCTAAGCCATGTTCCTCCCACTGCAGGCCAAAGAAAATTTACATTACGGGACTATTAATTAACACTTATGAAATCCACATAATATAATTATATCGTAAAATTATGACATAACATCAAAATAACATCACGCCTTATATCCCCGAAGCGAAGGGATAGGTAGAGCTGCACATTACAGCATTTAATGCCACTGTACAATGTAACATCCAATTATCACTATTTATGTTATAACTCCCATGTTATAGGGGTCAATCCCTATTGCCCTATGTGCCTATTGTAAAAAGATTAAAAAAAATGGTAATACACTCACGCCTATGACCATTTTTAAAAATCTTTTATTATAATCCAGTAAATCTTGGCCCAACCAGGGTATCGAACCCGACACCCCTTAACCGACAGTCGCACTTGCGACCACTCGACCAACGACACAGTCAATTATAAATGACTAAATATAATACGCATGGATGGCCATAACATTACGTTACCAAATGTAACATTTACGAGCGCATAAAAGAACTGGCATCCTAACTTCATTTAATGACAATTTTATTTCAGTGAATAAAACATACAATTATTATTCGCAATACTCGTTAATTTGATCGTAAAGTTAAATCTTAACGATTTCTCAGTTAATTGAGATCGCTATGTAGATATTGTAAGAATTATTGAATTAATCGGTATGATTTATCGGTAAGTCGGTTTTAATAAACGGCTGTATGAGTTATATCGATATTTTAATTATTGTAGGTGTTGTTTCGTTACATTTTAATGTACCTAATATTAACTGGTATTGTGAATGCTAAAGTTTGTTTGGTACTGATGGAGTTGTGTGGAAAGATCGAGTTCTTTTTGTTTTTTTTTAGAGATGTCTGTATTCAGACCGCCACGGACAGCCCAATAAGGCTGATGCCGATACGGAGCCGCGGAGGACTTAACGAGGTGCCGTCTTCGGCTCGAAGGGCAGGAATAGGAACGGGATGGATTTTAGTCAGTAAGAGTCTGACACTCCCTCCCGCCTCACCCACTCCAGGCGGGAGAAGTCATTCGATGATTTTCATACCTTAAAAAAAGAGGTGTCTGTATTATAAATAGCGGGTTATCTCATACTTTGACTGAAAGGTCTTCATTTATGTTTATAATGATTTTAGTAAAGCGTTTGATAAAAACTTTTTGGTGTTATTTTTTTTTAACTTTTTGCAGTTTTTTTCATTGTAATTCAAACGTTACTTTTATGTTTTAAAAGTGACCGCTTCTTAAATAACAATGTTTTTATACTCCCCGTAAAAGCTTAAGCAGCCTTTATGAGTATAATTTGAAATTTTACTGCCCTCAACGATATAAGATTATGATGTGATACGAATTTTCATTGCTATTTGATGGTCAAAAGTTTTTTTACGCTAAAATAAAAGTTAGCAACTGTATATCTGTTTAAAATGGAGAATTTTAATGTAATGAGAAGGTGTAGTTTTAAAAGAAATTAGGTTAAGTGTTTAAGTTTTTCCAAATAACCAAAAAGATTTATATAAGATTTATCTTATTGACATTTATGAAATAATGTTTGAACATTTTCATACACACGTGTCTAAATCCCATCATGATAATATAATAAATGGGAAGATTAACCTCTTGTCTGTCGATATCTGAGACAATAGAAAACACATTGTGTGTTGATCTGAGTTCCGACAGTTCACAGGTTAAAAGAGATTAAAAAAATGTGGGCAAAGACAAACATAATGTTCTTATTGAGTTGAGCTCAAGTAACTCGGAGATAGAGAAGACAGAAGAAGAATATAGTCAAAAGCTTGGCTGTATTCTCAACAACCAAATTGCCACTTTCGTGACCGGGCACCGTCAACTCTAGACATTATTATTTTATTGTTTTTAAGGTTATTTTCTCTTTAGTTCTCTTTGACTGGATTTTGGTGTTACATTGTTCTGAACCAACAAAATTATGTAACTAGAGAATTTTTATTGTGAACCTGATTGGATAATAGTAACATATGGAGTTTCTTGCTCGCAAATAACTTCACTTTCAAATTATTTTGTTGACATTCAATAGTGCCTTCCTCGTCCAATTTAAACTGTCAAATACCACGAGGACACCGGTGACCGCAACCTATTGTTCTTTAATTGTGTCTATAATGATGGCACTCAAAGGGTATAAACGATTTAGCTTTTGACTTTGGCTTTACCATCTTTAAATTATTTGAAAGGATTTGTGTTTTAAAAAGTCTTATGACTGATTCCAGGTCCTACAGACTGGTGCCCAACAAGCAGTGGAAGAGTGTCAGCACCAGTTCCGACACAGCCGGTGGAATTGCAGTACTGTGGAAAATTCTACTGATATCTTCGGCGGTGTGCTTAAGTTCAGTAAGTATTAATATGAAGATAGAAAATTCATTATGATTAGGCTAAAGTTTTGGATATTTGGTGTCAATTATCTCAACTCTGAGAGATTCTAATTGATAGTTAACGCGTAGTTAAGACCAATTTGACCTGGTCATAGACAGATCAGGGGGCTTACTCTTGAATCCAATTCCGATCGATCGACATTAGTGTTGTGACATTTCGCACAGTGGATTGAAATTGCATTGACATTGAGATAGGTTTCAAAAGTAAGCACTCAGGTCTAATCTTAGATCTATGGGGAGTACAGAGAAGATAAATGATTTTCAGCAATCTTCACGATAATGATGGTGAGAAAGATATGGTATGTTTACGACGAAATAAGGCACTTATATACAAAGTCGTACGCAGAGTAAATAAATTGGTGTACTTACGTTCTTTAGTTTCTGGCATGACCAAAATTGACGGATAGTTTTTCTATTACAATCATTTGTAAAACCTACGTGAGACATACTAAATTAATTAATTTGTTTTTGGGCTTACTCACGTAATTATTCCGCTAGTTTTAAGCTATGCTAGAGGCTCATAATCATGAGCAGCATTCTGTGACCATCGACGCTACGACTGTCGTTATGTCAGTAGCAGCACGATAGTCCCCGCGTGAGTAAGCCGAACAACATAATAATTAATTCTAAAATCCCCTATAAATATTTCGCAACAAAATCCTACTCACATAAATAATAATAAAGAATAGCAATCATCACTCAAGTTTGAAATGATCGCTGCATGCCCATGTGTTTGAAGTGGGTTTACGTAAGAGGGTGTCAGTCAACGCCGATGTTTATCTTCCGACAATACAGTCTGGAAGTAGTTTACTGAATTGTGTTAGGGTACAATATACAATAGATTGTTATTTTGTATTTGTTAAAGGGATTTTTTCATTCTCATTATTTCATTAATATTTATTTTTACTTCTTTCTCCTAAATTTCAAGAAACTCTTAAGCTAAGGTGGATATGAGTTATTTATTTCTTTTTTAGAAAACGTTGACCCACACCAGGATTTTCTCCTGTGTCGTGGGTGCATTTACAAACATACAAGTTTACATACACAACGGAACAACAATTTAATGGATCACACAAAGAGTTGCTCCGTACGGGTATCGAACCCACGACACGTTGCCCAGCCACTGCACCAACTGTACCGTTGCCGACTTAACGTCATTTTGATTTTTGACAATGGGGATGATGACAGGGTATGAAAATTAAAAATATAATTAGTCCGTAAGTTAGGTAATGAAAAAATATTAGACACGTATTTTTTTATTTTGTCGTATAATAAAACAATACTTAGATAAAACGAATCAAAGTTTAAGAGTGGGGGCTAAAACGTCATTTCTTAGTATAAAATGTACTGAGAAGTGACGTCACGCGACATTTCAAATCATATCTTCGAAACTACTCGTTTCTGTGAGAAAATAAAAAATACGTGTCTAATGTTTTTAAATAATCTATCAGACGGACATTAAAATAAAAATTAGTCGTCTACCCTTCGTCATGTCGTAAGTAAGTTTTAGTTATGTGATAGTTTAAATGAAAACTCTCTGTCAATTGTCTTGGAAACGTAGGAATCTTTTCTTTCTCATGTTTTAAAAGTCATTTGTTGAAGTGATATTTGATGTAAAACCTATTATTGAATATAAAAATGGAAGTGAAGATTCATGAGTAAAGAAAATAAAAAGAAAGCAGTTGCTCAATATGAATTTAGAATTCTGTTGTCAGCGATCTATGCTATACTACAACTGGTAAGTTCATGAATGGCTTTACTTGCACTTTTGTAGACACTGAGCTGTATCCAAAATTTCTGTGGAATACGCTCTTGGACTAAATATTAAGATTACCCATCACCTTTCCCTTCCCATATCCATTAGTGCAAAGAGAAGATGCACAAAGACATGCACTTACTTTACTGTTGTTCTTACAAACAAACGAGAATCTGAGCATACTATTTGACGGGTTCTTCCGTTGCTGATCAAAATCAAAGTTTGTGTATAAGTTTACATCAAGACCAATTTCATAGAACTTCATCGTCTTAGACGTGAAATGTTTATTTTCAAATGTCGATTACTCGGTCTGGGTGTTGTTGATGGAGCAGCTCAGGTTGTTTACTGTAAAGTACTACAACGTAACCAGCTTCGTTGACCTTCCATTCCCCTCTGCTCCTTTAGCTGCACGGGTGTCAAGTTCTATTTGTATGCCTTTTAAGGGATCTAATTCATTGGTTGCATCAAAGATTACTGGTCAACGAACTTCTGCGTAGATTTTCTGTTTCGTTTTTAGAATTTCAATCGATTTAGCGGAATTTGCTTTTGTACCATGTTTTTGTTCTGTACCTACATCTGTCTTGGGTATTGTTTTGAAAATGTTGAATCAACGTTTTGCATTTTGCAATGCGAGAAAAAATAACAATGGAATTATCTTGAGAATTCAATAGACATCTGGTGTGTGTAGACAAAGAAGTGTAAAACATTTAACAATTAATACATACATTCTTCTAAGTTATTCTCTTATTAGCCAGTCAGTGTTACAATAGGCAGTAGTTGTTTCAATATATCTCTATCCATGTTGTTATCTATTTCCACCATATTATTAAGTGGGTATTGTTCCATTCCGTCATTTCTTTTCGAGTCAAGTTATTCGACTTTACATTGTTGTGGCCACTTTTATTGTCACTGCTACATTTTGTTAACACGTTAACACGGCATTGGTTAGCGAATAATTTATCTATCGGCAGTGAAATATACAATAGTTTTACTACTTTCTTAATATTTAAACTCTCTTCCCAGTTTTTTCTTTTCATATTTTTAAGCTATTTCTTGTTAGGCTAGTAGTGTTACTAAATCATTACTTATTTATTTTTACCACATTCTTTCAGAATCTCGTGAATCAGCCTTCGTGCATGCTCTGTCAGCGGCGGCATTGGCGCATGCAGTGGCCCGCGCCTGCTCTCGTGGTGAACTCAATGAGTGCTCCTGCGACTCTCGCGTCAGAAAGCGTACGCCTAGGCACTGGCAGTGGGGAGGGTGTTCTGAAGTAAGTTTTTTTGGAATGTTATGATAGATTACTGATTGATGTTATTAGAGACGAATTTTTTACAATATCAATCTATCAATGAGTCTGCGACAAGATTAACGAAATAACAGCTTATATTTAAAAAATCGTATGCGTTGGTTTTCAAACAGTTATTAGTGATACTGTTTATATTTTACAACTAATAAATATCTACAACTGACAAACCTTCGGGTAACTTCTTGAGCTTCTGTGCTAAGTATGAGATTGTTGCTAAATGAATACTTTTTACAATTTCCAGGATATTAGATATGGGGAGATGTTCAGCAAAGATTTCTCTGATTCCAAAGAAGATAAGAATACTGATGAAGGACTGGTGAACCTGCACAACAACGAGGCTGGACGACGGGTAGGTTTCATTCATCATCAACAGCCTATAAATGCCCACTGCTGAGCAAAGCCTCTTCTCACACGGAGAAAGTTTGAGCATTAATCACCACGCTTGCTCAATGCGGGTTGGCGATTACAAACTTATAATTAGAAATTATAAGCCCAGGTTTCCTCACGATGTTTTCCTTCACCGTTTGTCAGTGGTGTCTGAATAATCTTAGAAAGTACATATAACTCGGAAAAAGTCACATTGGTACTTGCCGTTGGTAGGTTTCGAACCCGCACCCTCGTGCATGAGAAGCGGGCGTCTTAAACCTCCGGGCCACCACGACATTCGGGTGGACGGGTAGGTTTAGTACTATTTAAATGTACGAGTGATGTAAATATTAATCTTTGTCATCATAGTGATAAGAGTTATTTTTAAACAATAATAGTCAGTTGTATTGAATCTCAGCAGATATTCTTAGAAGATTTGCTGTAGACAGTGAAAAGAAATTTGCTATTTAACATTTTGTAATTTTAGACCCGAAATTATTGGTATAAGAGAAAAAAAAGATAAAAACATTCAAAACGTAAGAAAAATTTATGAAATGGAAAAAGTTTATGAATGTACGGCTTTTATAGATACTAACTTAATCGCAAATGTCTCTTCTGGCGTGCATGTCTTATGCCGAATAAACGTATTGCATTTCATACATTTCATGTCATTTCATTCATTTCATTTCATTTCATTTCATTTATTTCATTTCATTCATTTCATTTCATTCATTTCATTTCATTCATTTCATTTCATTTCATTCATTTCATTTCATTCATTTCATTTCATTCATTTCATTCATTTCATTCATTTCATTAATTTCATTCATTTCATTCATTTCATTCATTTCATTCATTTCATTTCATTCATTTCATTTCATGCATTTCATTTCATTTCAAATGGTGTTAACATTTTACAGGCGGTTCGCGGTCGTATGCAGCGTGTATGCAAATGCCACGGAATGTCCGGATCTTGCTCAGTTCGTGTCTGTTGGCGTCGTCTGCCGCAACTACGCATGATTGGTGATGCATTGTCCACGAGATATGAAGGGGCGTCCCATGTAAAGGTTGGTCAAGTTAGTTGCCTTTTTTATTATTATTTTTTGTAGTGATTTTCTCTAGTTATTTCCATTTAATTTAGACACTAAGCCGCGCAGTGTGCACTAGTGGGTTCGATACCTTTGTGCTTCATCCTTTGTGTGATCCACAAATGGTTGTTTCGGGTCTGGGTGTCATGTGTATGTGATATATTATAGATATTGTATACGAACCCCACGTTTCCTAACCGCGACACTGGAGAAAATCCTTGTAACGGGTAACGGTTTTAAAAGGAAAAAACAATTGTTAATGCATACATGTAACTGCATAATTATCTACTACTCAGTTCAAACTTAAACTGTGTTAAACAACAAACAAACAAAGGACAATTTAGTAGTTTTAATTTAAATAATATTCATTGGTTGATCCCTAAATTGTATTTGCACAAGAAAGCTAATTCCTCTTTTATTGATTCTAGGTCTATATCAGTCATCAGTATCTATCAAATCAGTGATATTAAACTTACGATTTCAGGTGGTCGAACGCAAGCGAGGGAAGAATATAAGAAAGCTGAGGCCATTACACATGGACATGAAGAAACCTAACAAGACTGATCTTGTGTACTTGGAGGATTCGCCAGACTATTGTGAACCTAATGACGAGTAAGTACTAGGTTTTAAGGATCAACTCCTATGCAAAATAAAGACCTTCTCAACGAAGTTGTAGTCTTAGCTATATGTTATGGAACAAGTAAGATTTGTTCCTAAAAATATCACTATGTTTTTTTATATTTTAAGACTTAAAGTTAGGAGTTGACAGACTTTGACTGCACGGTTGCTAGGTGGGGGCTTGGCAACCGGCTGCCGTGCAACGTGTCGCGGGTTCGATTCCCGCACGAAACAACACTTTATGTGATCCACAAATTGTTGTTTCGGGTCTGGGTGTCATGTGTATGTGAACTTGTATGTTTGTAGACGCACCCACGATACAGGAGAAAATCCTAATGTGGGACAACGTTTTTTTAAAAAAAAAATATTTGTTCCTAAATAGATGACACTGTTTTTTTTCTATTTTAAGACTTGAAGTTAGGAGTTCTCAGGGACTCATACTAGGTCCATCCAATTTTTATATTTTAACAAAATGATTTATGTCCAACAGGCTCGGCATCTTAGGGACTCGTGGCCGTACTTGCAACAGAACGTCAGCTGGTCTCGATGGCTGTCGCCTACTATGCTGTGGACGAGGATACCAAACCAGGGTGAGAGATCACGAAGAAAAATGTAGATGCCGTTTCGTCTGGTGTTGCAAAGTTCACTGCGAAATCTGTCGGTTTAAACGAGACCATCACGTTTGTAATTAAAGCAAGTTTTAATTGGCAAGAAGTCTGTGTAACGGCCGGTTTTACAGCCTCTAGATAACCACCATCTATCAGATAAATTTCAAATGGAAGAGCAAATAAATATTGAATACTCATCAGATAAAATCATGAATATCGGGAGAGTTGTAGAACTGGCCCTTAAGTATTAGTAGATTTGCAATGATGCCAATGTTAATTAAGATATAGTTGAGGAGACTAATACGAATTGAAAGAGGCTTTTGGATTTAGTTGAGTTTATTTAAGTCGGTGGCAAAGAAGTGATGAAAGAGGTTGGATTTGTATTAGATACTGCTATAATGTCTAATGATGCAGTAAGTAAGGACGTTAAAAAAGGGGGATATAAAGTCATCTAGAAATGATTGAAGCACCAAAATGTTAGCGGTTTTTTATGTGTGCGTGTGTAATGGGTTACCACGTTATCAGACTTGAAAAAATTACAGATGTTCCTTCGTGTCAATGTGTTTATGTTCTGCGTATAAGTCTATAGTAGCCAGGTTGGGCTCGCTGCCATTGCAGCGGTAAGACCCCTCTTTGAGGAGTGGCTTGAGAGACGCTACGGCGTCCTCACCTACCGCCTGACGCAGGTCCTCCGGACGATTCGGAGTCGCGGAGAACCTAACGGGTAACCGGGGCTCCGGCTCGACGTGCAGGAGAAGGAACATGGGGCGGGAGCAGTCATTCGATGATTTTCCCCCCTTAAAAAAAAAATAGTAACCGGATGCCACAGTCGTTTCAAGAGACTATGTTCGCCTCTTTTCAACGTCCTTGGCAGTAAGCATTGAAGAAGGAAAAAGCAATATTTTAACACTGGATTTTATAAATAACCTAAAGATTTTTTTAAGAAGATTAGTAAAGTAACACCAGTACGAATAAATGATAACAATACTATGACCTATTTTGAATAAGCCTAATTGATTTTATAAGCTAAATGAAGCTAATAAAATCTATATGAAGATACTCGCAGAACATTTTTGCCTTTTGCATCATAAATGTTTATAACGCTCTCTTCAAAATTTCGATCTGATTCTGTTATTTATTTCGCCACAATCATTTCTATAAATTGTGTAAAAATCAGTGAGTCTAATAAAGTTAATTTTTGTTAAGTTTCTTCATAACTTTGAGAAATAAAATTGTTCAACGCTTGTAGCCTAGAAGGCTTAGTACAAGATTGTTTTACGTTTACATAAATGAGTATACGTTTGGTGTACTAATTGGCTGGCTTCAATGAACCATCTAATTAGAGCGCCGAATGAGGTCTCATTTCGATTACATACATAGATACGTAACTTCACGCCTGTCTGCCATAGGGGTAGGGGTACTAAGGAATGCCAATTACTACGATTCTTACATACCTCTTTCGCTTCATTAACAGTCATCAATCTTTTCATGCATGCTCGTCTCGTCGGTTAAGAGTACTTTAAATTTGGCCCTTCTTTAATATATCGCCAATCTGGTCACTATATGTCCGTCTAGGGCGACCTCTACCGACGGCGCCATTCATATCCCCTCTGTATACTTCTTTCGTTACTATACTTTCATCCATCCTTTCTACATGTCCAAACCAGCGTAACATTCCCTTTTCAATCCTTGTCACTACATCATCTTTCAATCCACACCTTTCTCTAATAACACTAAACGTAAATCAAACTCGTATTAGGCCTCAATTTAGTAAAGATTTTGGAATAATTGCAATTTGTAATTTCTTTAACGTTTTCCAAATATTTTGCGACCGCCATCATAAATGTTTGGTGTCAAAACTTTCATTAATTATTATTAATTAACAAATTAACAGAGTCTTATTATAAAACGCTGACTGATTATTAATTTTAATTTAGTTTTTAGATAACATTTAATTTTCTGAAGATTAAGCTTTAAAATTATTTACAGTATTACTAACTTATTTTATTTTTTAAATGTACAAAGTTGTATATAGCGCTTTTGTTTATATTCTAATAACTATAGACTAAGGATCGAGGCATTTTCTTCTTATTTATGTGCCGTATGTAAATATTAATAGTATTTTAATTGTGTACCTTACACATATTGATTTTCTACCTCATGAGGAAGATGATTTCGTTCATGCTATGATATAATTATTATAAATTATTTTAAGAACAGTAAGCAGTTTATTGTATGGTATAGACGCAGTATTTCATTATAGACTTCAAACTCTATTGTAAAATGATAAGGTTTAAAATCTATAATTGGAAGTTCTTTCGATTCTTCCTTTCTCCATATCCAAAATTACCACCTTCAAAATATTCAAATACCGTTTTGGCAAAATGAACCATATTAACTATGACTTTTGGTATTACTATTCTTTGACTAGTTTTCATAGGACTGCTTCCAAAATCGTCAGTTGTAAATATTATACCTAGTAAGCTAGTGTTAGTAACTTATTGTGTTAGGAATGTGATAGCTTTATTCATTTTAGTGATAATTTCTTCTACGAAATCTTTGATAATGTAACCTTCGATGTTATTTTGTAAATACTCCATAGTGATATTATGTAAAATATATAGTTGTATCATGTGTTTAGCTTAAGGATTCTGCTTTTCTCGACGTTCTATCTTTCTAACTGGATTTTTGTTATCTGTATCAACTACTAGGTACATTAAAATTTATTTCATCATCTGATGTAAAATTTTCTTCTGTACTGTCTATATTATTTTCATTGGCTAATTTATCTTTATCTACTGACATTTTTAGATCATTCTCATTGTCTTTGTTTTCATAGAACTCCGAGAAAGTTGTAATCATACAAATGTTTTACACTTGCCAACTTTAATACTACCTATATAACGTCAAATGTAAGAAAATCATCGTCTACTGTAACTTAGTGTTAAGTGATTTTACTCATTGACTCAAACGTATCACCAATGATATTTAAGTACTTAATATTTATGTAGAAATCGAAATCTATGTTAACACAGTATTAGTTAACGATAATTTGTAGAATGTCGCGTCCATTGAAGATTTAACAAGCGATGCTTCTCAAACCCAACGTATTCAATGTTCTTTCTATGCAAAAAGGTCATGGAACCTTTTTATATAATTTAATGCCAGCGCCAGACATGTCCGCACTTGTTTGTTCACAATATGTGGCATGGATTTAATTGCATCATAATGTCTGTACTATACAATGCGGACACGTATGTAGCCTAGAAAGTGCATACAGGTCTGGCGCCGGCGTTAGATTATATTAGTATTCAAAGTTATTTCTGACTGTATTTTAGTCTAAAACATAATTTAACTTGAACCAGTTTTGAGGTAAGTTTTAGTATTTACCATTTTGGATATGGAATAGTTACTATTTGATGTAAATGGAATAAAGTAAATGTATTAGATAAGTGTGTTGTTTATTTCTATACTTTTGAATTTTTCCCTCACTCACACGGCGAAACACAATGTAAGTGTTCTTTAACATTTATACATACATACATAACTTCACGCCTATCTCCCATGGCTAGGCAGAGAGACAATTGCTATGATTCTTACATATCTCTTTCACTTCATCAACAGTCATCAGTCGTTCATGCATGCTCTACTAATGGTAGGTACTTTTAATTTGGTATTTCTTTAATATATCGCCATTAACGTCGGTGGCTATGTAAGGTCATGGTACCAGATACTCTTCTATATCACTTATCCATCTCCCTTTAATGGGGTTACCGTTTCTCTGGTCACCAGATAACACAATTATATACCAAGAGATTTTTATTGTCCAATCACTAGAACTATCCAATATTGAACGTCCAATTGAGTGAACCTATTTCCCTATTGGACGAAAAACAGAGAGTTTACAAAATATTTTTTTCTTAAGGGGGGAAAATCATCGAATGACTGCTCCCGCCTGGGTGAGGCGGAAGGGAGTGTCAGACTCTTACTGACTAAAAACCACCCCGTTCCTTCTCCTGCACGTTGAGCCGGAGCCCCGGTTACCCGTTAGGTTCTCCGCGACAGAGAGTTTACACTAGCGCTACCCGGAGAGCATGGATTACGAGCTATATTGGATATTATTATGTTTTGAGGAACAAGGCACGTATTTTTATTTTTTTAACGAAACGAATAGTTATGAAGATACATTGATTTGAAATGTCGCGTGATGTCACTTCTATGTACATTTTATACGTAGAAATGACGTTTTAGCCTCCACTCCTAAACTTTTGATTCGTTTTATCTAAGTACTAGCTTTTACCCGCGGCTTCGCTCGCATCACAAAAGGATAAAAAGCCAATGTGACATATACCAATACACACAGCGCCATCTATACCAATACTTTTGTTTTTCCTCGGGAATATCAAGTAAGTAAAAGTACCCTTTTATTTAATCCAGACTTCTAACTTTACGTCTGCAAAATTTCAAAGCAATCGGTTTAGTATTTACGGCGTTAAAGTGGAACAAACCAACAAACAAACTCACTTTCCGATTTATAATATAAGTAAGGATTGTTTTATTATACAACAAAACAAAAAAAAAAATACTTGTCTAATAATTTTTCATTACATCTGACCGACTAATTACATTTTTAATTTTCATACCCTGTCGTCATCCCTATCATAGCAAAAGAGTTAGTTCAATACTATAGGCGAGTGTAGATACATAAAAAACAATTTTTATTATATATGTGATGGGCCAATGTTTGGCCACTATAACTAGAGTAAAAAGTAAATGAAAATGTTTGTTACAGTTATATAAATCACTAGGTGGGCAACACCCCACGACTTCGTCCGCGTAAAATATGAATTTTAGAACATATCTTTTTTTTTGTTTTCCCAAGAATCATTCGAACATAGTATCTCCTTCATGTTGGGCAGCGGTAAAAATAAAAGTAGCCAATGTTACTCCTTAGTACATCAGCTACCTGCAAATAAAAGTAATTTAAAATAGGTCCAGCCATTCCAGTGATTAGCTAGTACAAATAGACAGACAGAAAAAAAGTAAAAAATATTATTTTGGTATGTATGCACACACGTATGTATATGCATATGCATGTAGTAAAAAGCGGTTATTTTAATATTACAAACAGACACTACAATTTTATTTATCTGTATAGATGCTTATACCTTCTTATGATACGAGTTATAAAGTCGGATTACCGTGAGGATTAGGTTTTATTGAGCAAAAAACACGGTAACCTGCATTGTAGAAAGTATTTGGAGTATCTTATCAAATACATATAGGTACGTAAATAAATACAGTCATATGTCAGTAATGCAAGGAATAATAAAGGAAGTTATCAATAAGTGTAATTAAATCTCTTTGATAATATTTTTTATCGGTTGAGTTCCGATTATAGTTATTGTATGGTTATTGTACTATGCTTTGATTCAAATAGTTCCTATCTACTGTTTATAGATAATGGCGTCAATTACTGTTTGTCATAGATAAAATATGTTCTTTAATTTCACCGACATTTTTGGAAATTGAACTAAAATTTTCAGTGATGTCATTAACTCGTCGAGTACCGGTTTTATAGACACAATTAAAGAACAATAGGTCGCGGTCACCGGTGACCGCTTGGTGTTTGATAGATTAAGGGAAGTTTTTGAGAGTGGAAAATCATCCAATGACATATGTCAGGTGAGAGTATAGGGAGTGTCAGACTCTTACTGACAAAAAACCACCCGATTCCTACTCCTACACTGCGAGCCCAAGCCCCGGCAATCCATTAAGTTCTCCCCGGCTACGTATCGGCATCAGCCCTATTTGGCCCAATCTGTGGTGGTCTGGTGGTTCTTTGAAGTGTACGCGGAACGAGACGCGCCGTACGCTCGGGTTTGGTACTGTATGTGAATACGTTTTTATTACGTGAATCAGGCTCCTGATCAGGGCGCTTACTCTTGAAACCAATCTCAATGTCAATGCCATTTCAATCCAATAAAATCTCAATAATTATTCAATGTCAAAACTATACAACCCTTACCGTAACTGTTAAAACAGCATTCAGAGTACGAAATATAAAGCCAAACTTAATACCATTTAGTACATTCAATATCCACGCAATACGGATGCAATGGGCGCTAATGTTGCATCTCGAGAGTACGAAATTTCACAAAACCAATGTCGATCGATCGGAATTGGATTCAAGAGTAAGCCCACAGAGGCCTTAATACAAGTTTGTATTACGTTTAAAGCATTAGTAACGACACCTCGTTTGGCGCTCTGATTGGTTGGTTTATTGGCGCCCGCCAATCAGAGGCCTTAGTACGAGTTTATTTTTCGTTTAAAGTAATCGAAACGAGACGGCGTTCTGTGCTCTGATTGGATGGTTCATTAGACCTGGCCAATCACAGCGCCGTACGCGTACTCGTTACGATTACTTTAAACGAAAAATAAACTCGTACTAAGGCCTCTGTGCTCTGATTGGTTGGTTCATTAGAGCCGGCCAATCACAGCGCCGTACGCGTAAGCGCTTTAAACGTAAATCAAACACGTACTAAGGCCTCAGGCGGCGAGCTACCCTTGCTCGTCGTCCGCAGGCCCGTGCTTGCGTCGTCAACTACAAAGTTATTCTACTAATATAAGTATAATCTAGTTTACATTGACTCTGGTATACCAGATCATTATTATCATCATCACCATCAAGAAATGCCTTTGACAATCCACTCCAGGACCACGGATGTCCGATTCCGACTGCCTTGTTGGCCGAGTGGTCGTAAGTGCGACTGCCGGGCAAGGGTTCGATTCCCGGGTCGGGCAAAGTATTACTGGGTTTTTAAATATTCTCAGTAGTAGCACGGAGTCTGGAACGGTGCCCGGTATATGGCAATAGGCTCACCCCCTATTACATGGGACTCATAACATAAATAGTGAAAAGTGGGTGTTACATTGTACAGTGGTATAATGTGCACCTCTGACACCCCTTCGGGGATAAAAGGCGTGATGTTATGTTATGTTATGTTATTGCAGTTTGAAACATTCAGTGAAGGAGACGCAATTAATATTTTAAGGTATGCACGCAGAAGAACGAGTATCATATTCTGTTGCCAATCTCTTCCCATAGATTTTTACCTGACTAGGACTAGTAGGAGGGGTAAAATATAAGAAGGGAATATTAGAGTCACTACTGTTAAAGTTGTTTTAAACAAATTATTTGCAATGCTTCTGGACCGAACTTGTTTTGCCCCTTATTATATATTATTACTACTTTTTGACGTGACAACGTCTTATAAATTGGTTTGCCGGGTAACACTTCAAGAAACTGCGTTACGCTCCGCTCACGTTATGCGCTCACAATGAGAGCGAGTGAGAGGCACGCGTCCTTTCCACTCGGGCATGGTTAGCCCGCCTAAGAGCGAGAGAGACAGACATAAAAAGTGAAAGGCACGCGTCATTTTACCACTCAAAGTCGTTGTCACGTAAAACTTTCGCCCGTATACCGACTTTACAGGCAACCAATTTTTATTACATTTTTTCTTCTGTATCGTCCTATTATTCTTTGAAATATGTTATCTATCTACAGACATATTCATTTATTGTTTATTGCATGTGTATGTGGTTTATCAAACTTCGTCTTATCGCAAATATCTATGCAGTTTTAATCATTCATAATTTGATTCAATAATAAAAAAACATATTGTCATTATTATTTATATACCATTCTGTAATCTGTAAATTGTACATAATACTATGACTAACAAAAAGTAGTGTTTATATTTACCACCAGAGCATGTTCTTGGTGGTAAATGTAAACAATACTTTTTGTTTAAGGATATTTAACAGGGCCGATGCCGATTCGGAGTCGCGGAGAACCTAATGGGTTACCGGGGCTCCGGCTCAAAACAGACTAGTAGGTGATTCAAGAACTATATGCTACTCTCCTTCTGGACATTTTCATTTCTACCATTTTTCTTTTTTGGCATAAGCCGGTAAACGAGCAGACGGATCACCTGATGGTAAGCAATCGGCGTCGCCCATGGACACCTGGAACACCAGAGGCGTTACAAGTACGTCACCGGCTTTTTGGGTATTAGGAGTTTGAGGATCGTTGGGGATTTAGGGATTGGGGAGATTGGGGAAGGGGAAGAGGTAATTGGACCTCCAGTTTGGGGTCGTGGTTGGGCCTCAGGTGACCTCACTCACACGACGAAACATAACGCAAGCGTTGCTTCACGTCGGTTTTCTGTGAGGCCGTGGTATCACTCCGGTCGAGCCGGCCCATTCGTGCCGGAGCATGGCCCTCCCACACTTAAATTTTTAGGACTTTTAACATTGATGTGGGATTAACAGTACCTACACCAAACTGTAGGGATGTGCCGTAACAGAAGGTGCACATTGGAGGCTCCGGAGTAGGTCTATTGGACCTCACAGGCGCGGAGGGTGACCAATGAGGTTTCATTGAGGTAAAGATCTTACACACCCTAGGTTTTTTCCCAAAAGCTATGCGGCTTTTGAAGGCGCATAGCTGTCGCTATCGCATACAGATAAATAAGTTGACATTATAACATTCCTATTCAGACGTAGAAGGATAAGTAAGCTGAAGTGACAGGTAAACGTGTTCTAGAGTGGAGACCGGGTCTAGGCCAACGTAGTGTAGGCCGCCCTCCAGCTAGGTGGAGTGACGACATCCGAAAGGTGGCTGGCAGTGGTTGTATGAGAAGAGCTGAAGACCGAGCTCAGTGGCATGCCATTGGAGAGACCTATGTCCAGTAGTGGCCGGATACGGGCTGATGATGATAATGATGATGATTTAGATGTATCTATTGATGGTAAGCAATTGTCAGTGCTAATAATACCAAAGGCCTTACAAGTGCGTTGCCTTTTGAGGATTAGGGATTTAAAGATTGAGGTTAAAAGAATACAAAAGTAGGTTATAAACAGTTTATTAACATTATTTTATCACAAACACACACATACAAATGAATGCCGTAAAATTAAATAAAATTCTCATTAGTGTGATTATCTGCTCCACTGTTCCACTGCTGGGCAGAAGCTTCTTATCACACGAAGGAATCGTGGTATTATTTTACAAATTTATGCTCCTAGTGGGTTGCCCACCCAGGGATAAAGACGTGGACAGTTAGTGCATATATCAAACCAGTAATTTTTCTGTAAAATAAAATGTCTCGAGTTAGCAGATCACATAACAATTAGATACTTTTTTTGTTGAAGGGGGAAAATCATCCCCGTTGAGGCGAGAGGGAGTGTCAGACTCTTAATGAATAAAAACCACCCCGTTCCTACTCCTGCACTTCGAGCCGGAGCCCCGGCAACCCGTTAAGTCCTCCGCGACTCCGTATCGGCATCAGCCCTATGGGATTCCATTTGTGGTGGTCTGATGGCTCCTTGAGGCGCGCGAGGAACGTGGCGTGCCATACGCTCGAGTCTGTTACTGGTCAGACGACGAGTCATCCGTGCTCGCCGTGCGCAGGCCCGTGAATAATTAGATACTTGGTCAGACAGTTTTGGAAGGAGGGGATTTTTCAATGTCTTCCTCCACATGAGTGAATCGAGGGGTAATGTCTGACTCTTACTGACTCAAAACCACCTCGTTCCTACTCTTGCTCTTCGAGCCGGGGCCTCGGCAACTGGTTTAAAAGTGTATGTAATTCGAATATTTTAGATTTTATTATATAGTTCGTTATAGGTCAACCTAATAAAAGCATATTTAATAGTAAAATTTATTGGTTTATTTACCCTATTGTTTGGTTCGAAAGCATGACAGGACCTCATTGCACAGTTGGTTGGAGTAAAAGATCTGCAGGGTTTTTTCATGTATTCATTCAAAGGAACTGGATTTTTAACCCAGTCTAAGACTTCCCCATGGTTTACCTAAAGAGATAAAATATTATTAGAAATTGTAGTTTGTGTCTTGGAAGAAGAGTGGTCGCAAACACAGCTAACGAATAAAAATGTAATGCATTATAACATTGGGACATGTATTATGACCGTAGTATGACTAACTGACGAGTAAAAGATGTAACATTAACTGCTTCTAGAAATTTCTTAACTATATTTTTTAAGTATACTTCTTTCAAACAGATTTCAAACCGCACCTAAAATTGACTCATCAACAGCCGGTGGGAATGTATGAGTTCACTGCTAGATTATAGGCCGATACAAAAGGGTTCGTTTAGGCGTTTTGGCCATACCTATTATTGGAAATAAATATTACAGGTCACGCATAGCTTTATACTACTACTCAGTTTTAAGGCTTTCCGCTGCGTTGGGCTTCTCTTAGTTGTGCAGTCTCTTTTGTGCCTTTAGGATTAATTAATTTATTTATTATGTCTCTTATTACTTTATTATGTGTCATTACTCACCGAGGTAAGTGGAAACTATCGTTTTTCTTCTCTAATAACAACATCATCTAATGTTTTAAATTTAGTTGCGGGATCCAAAAAGTTATTTATGTCCATGAGACGCGCCGGAGTAGCTGCAGTAGTATTGGGAGGTTGAGGCAGGCTTGTCCCAAAAAAGAAAAGTACACTTACCAGAAAAACATCACTCAATCTAGTGACTGTATCAAGGAATTTGATGTAAGCGGCTTTAACTCCAGGTTGACTTTCAAGGTACCACTCGTGGAGGTAGAAGCCGAAAGGAGCTCGGTTGCCGAAGTACTGTCTCTCAAAATTTCTAATGAAGAGCTTGTACCATGCGTCCACATCGGTAACGACTGGACTGAAAGAAAAAAACTTAGAAGTTTTATTTTAATACTAAAATACTGGACACTTCTCAATTCTGTGTAGACTGAATATTTTTACTATAGTATTCAAAGTACTTTTAGCCTTGAAATCTTGAAAAGAGCATACTTCTGAAAAATTCGAGTACCTATGAGCCGCGTTGTTCGGTCACCATCAGATGATCCATCCGTTCCTTTGGCCCCGAGTCGATGAAAAGAAAATTATAGAAGCGCATAATATTATGTATAAACTTACGTGAAAAAACAAGAATCAGCCATAGCACATGGGAATCCCATAGTGTCCCTAAAAGAGAGCATTGGTTGTACCCAAGGTTTTGGAATGGAGGCAGTTGGGCAAGGCGGGACCGGGCAGTCCTGAATGGATGCATAGTCCAAGGTATAGGGCCAAAGGCCTGGATTTAATATTTCACTAGTGGGCCAGGAAGAGTCGTATTCTAATCCATGGTCAGCCATTACTTGGTAGCTTGTATTGCCAGCCAGCTGCAGGAATGGTATACGTACACCTGCGATATAACAAAAGAGTAAGAGCACCTTTTTTAAACAGTCTATTTAAATCGACAAAAATTGCAAATTAATGTAAATGGTTATTGTGGTAATAGTATTCAATTAATGTCTTAGTAGTACAGACAACAATATTATTTTAACTGTTTGTTCACTTAATGATCAATAGATAACAGAAGTCTCTACTAACGCTTACCTCGGATACTCTCTTGAGGAATGTTGGCGAAATGAGCAATAAGTTCTTTTTGATCCGCAATTTCTTCCTTCAAATCTTTATAGCTGGCTGCTGCCCAGAACTCAGTAGGAGTTCTATGGGTGATCGAGTGTAGGGCGATTTCAAATCCTTGATTATACAATTCATTGATAAGGTGGTAGTTAGAGTACTCATGACTGACGTAAAATGTAGTTCCAATAGGGCACCCATTGGCATTCTTGCGATTGTAAAGAATCTCTCGGTAAGTTGCCATATTTCTGACGTTGACTGCATCGTCGAAGGTCAGTGTGATAAACTGAAATAATAAATAAATAAAAACATGAAGCTTGAAGAAATATTTGATACAACATTTTTCTAGTGATTTGATTTCCGATCTACCTCAGCATCATCAGCATTAAGTTAGGCCAATAAAATCAGTTATAGATTTATTGAAATTATTAGTATACTCTATTAGATATAACAATTCCTCTCGTAACAGTATAAACAAAGAATAGGGTAAAACACGACGAAGTTTATAATTGGAAGATAAAGAAGCCCTTTTTTAAGGCGGGGAAATCATCCAGTGACTTCTCCCGCCCGGGTGAGGCGAGAGGGAGTGTCAGACTCGCACTGACTAAAAACCACCTTGTTCCTATGATAAACAAGCCTGGGCCTGTCTTTATCTTTATTTTAAAAAACTTACCTGAGGAGTGTCCCTTGGACGGAATCCACCAGGAATGTTTGTGGACGAACATCTACAGTTTGGCAGCTTACATAGTTCTTCGTTACATTTTTCGGCCAATGGCAGCTCAGCTGCTACCAACCCCAAAATTAGTACTGATACCAATATAGTCAACCGCATTTTGGATGCGTTAAATTTAATGATTACTGTGAGGTCTTATTATGGGCCTTATATAGAAGTTTTTAATCTTTATTTGATTGATTATCATCATTATCGAATTGTTTAGTGAATCATTTCTAGTGCACTTTCACTGCTATCAAAACGTGATGTGATAGGTTTGTTCAGGTGAATACTTTTCCAAGAATCGTTAATGATGTTTCAGTAAAAATATTCAAATATTTGTTGTAATTTCAAGGGCATTATTAATTAGTACGTTTTTTATTAACAGAACAAGCCCGCCACAACCTCGGGACATAGATTGGTATACAGTGCAAATTCTATGGAATTATTTATATGAATAATTTAGTTTAGTAGAATAAGTCAGTAGCTATGCACAAGTAAAACAACGATAAGGGACTTTTTAATCATCGTAATTATGATGGGAATAAAATTGCATTAATTTAGTTACAAGTTTAAGTAAAATTGCATTAATTTAGTTTTTTTCTATTTTCTTTCTTTCTTTCTTTTTTTCTTTCTTTTTTCTTTCTTTCTTTCTTTTTTCTATTTAAAACAAATGGTCTTTAAATTGAAATGATATTTAAATGCAAAAACCGAGGAGCAGTGATCTTTAATAAGACTAAAGTTGCGAAAAAAGTGCACAGCTATGAAGACGTACTGCTTTCATCCATATAAGAAAACGTAAAATACTTTTATCTTAGTTATTTTTGGAAACGTCGTAAATTATCTTTTAAAAATATTTATCAATATTTAGATTATCAGTTATACAATTAATTTGTCACGTTTAATCAAATAGAATCAAATAACACCTGAGAGGTACTTGAGTACACCTAGAACAACCCAAAGTTTGCCTGGTAGAGATCGCTTTTAGTGATAAGGCCGCCTTTGTACCCTACTATTCTTTATTATAACATTACATGTATATTCTATTAATTTAAGGTGTTATAACACATGGGTGAATAAGGGTGGTGACAAATGAATGAGGTAGTGTCTTAATTACTGTTTTTAAAAAAAAGAGGAGGTACTATGTTTGGTTGATGTTTTTTTTTAGTTTGGTAGTTTACGGATTACACCGTCATGTGTGAACCGATTTCTATAATTATTTTCATCAGATAATGTACTATATGAATGAAAGACATTTTGGTAGCTGTGCTTTTTTAGCAATTTTAGGTTTATTAAAGACCACTGCTCCTCGGTCTCTGCTCTGCTAATCGTGAATGCCCTTGGTCGATCCTGTAATATCTTACTCAAACATAAAAAAAAATAATTTGAAAAATCGTGCCGGTCTCTGATATCGCTGGTAGGTGGTTACGGGTTAAATCAGAAAAAAATATTACTATATATTATAGAATCCCTTTGACTGTGACTTTTATGATTAATTTTTGGGTTATGTCTGTAATTTTATTTCGCAGTGCGAAAAAAATTGCATTACTGAGTCTATGAGTGAACACAAATCATGTTTAGGAACCAGCAACCGTTGGATTAGACGTGGTCTAAAGTGGAGACTGTGTCTAGTTTCCGTGGTTTTACATGAACAAATTATATCATACACATGATAGTACATTAATATCAAATGACCGTTAAGGTTCATTACACATATTCTAAATAACATGCTAAAAGGCGTTCTGCTTATTTTGAGCAACATTCCGACACACATGCTACTAAGTGACTAAATCATGCTTTCGTTCTTAACCCTTTGAGTACTGTCATTATAATAACAATTAAAGAACAATAGGTTGCGGTCACCGGTGTCCTCGCGGTGTTTTGTGTGTGACAGTTTAAAATTAGCATGTGTCTAACTGTACTTACCTTTATATCATTTTGAGCGTATGAAGTACTTTATCTTTCATATTTGACAGTTGACAGCGTCAACATGACAACTAATGCCCCTTACCACTGATTAGAATAGAGACGTTGTTGGTTGTTTTAGTTAATTATCACTATTTGCCATCTGCACAGATAAATAAAATTGTAGTGTCCGTTTGTAATATTAATATAACCGCTTTTTACTACATGTTTAAGAATATACATGATATACACATGTCAAAATAACATTTTTTTTTCTTGTCTATCTGTCTGTTTATCTGTTTGTACTGGCTTATCTCTGAAATAGCTGGGCCAATTTTAACGGGACTTTTATTGACAGGTAGCTAATGTACTACGGAGTAATATAGGCTACTTTTATTTTGAAAGATTTAATCATGTCAAACGTCATGTCCTAAAATTTATACTCTACGCAGACATCGAAAAAGTTGAAGTCGCGGGCAACAACTAACAAAGTATATAATCGGCGATCAACAAAAACAATTCTTAAATATTCATTGCATAGTCTCGTTATTCCCGTGTCGTACCCACCGATCTTCGTCGCGGTGAACCTAACGGGTAACCGGGGCTCTGGCTCGACGTGCAGGAGAAGGAACGGGGTGGTTTTTAGTCAGTAAGAATCTGACACTCCCTCCCGCTTCACCCAGGCGGGAGCAGTTATTCGAAGATTTCCCCCCTTAAAAAAAAAACCCACGGATCTTCAAAACAAATGATCTCTAAATTGAAATGATATTTTAAATATCGGTTGGTTTAACTTAATCTTTGACATTATTTGCTCTGCCTCGTTGGCCGAGTGGGCGCTAATGCGACTGCTGGTCAAGAGGTCTATAGTTCGATTCCCGGGTCGGGCAAAGTATTACTGGGTTTTTAAAAATCGCAGTAGTAGCACGGAGTCTGGAATTGTGCCCGGTATATGGCAATAGGCTCACCCCCTATTACATGGGACTCATAACATAAATAGTGAAAAGTGGGTGTAACTTCTGTGTGCACTTCTGCCTACCCCTTTAGGGATAAAAGGCGTGATGTTATGTTTGACATTATTTGTCGAAAGTCAGTGTTAGTCCCGTATATTGAATGGTCTGTTCATTTGCTCCTATCGCTTCAGAGCTGTTTAGAGAGACTTATTTGATTGCTTTCTTGTTGGATCACGAGGATTGCTTGTGTCGTTTACTTTTTCGTAATAAATATTCAGGTGTTTTAATAAAATTTGACTTAGGTATAGTCCTATGTCCCCTAAATAGGGGGTCCACAGAGGTTCTCTATCTCAACAGGTCTTGAGCTTCTCGCTTCACCTCGCTTCACGTCATTCCAATGTTCACCGCTTCTGCTATCACAATACGACTCCAGGTTCGCCAGATTGATTTAAGATTATCAAGATTTTTAATACTAAATATTTTTTTTTATGTACTCTCAAATTCTCATTATCAAACCTAAGACTTAATTTGTTTTAGATGTAGGATAGTTACGTTTGTATATGCTGTATTTCCCTATAAGTATTTGTTACACTTACTGTAAAAATTCATATTTGTATTTTGACAATAGAATTGGTGTAAACAAATGTTGGTAAATCATAAATAAATAATAAAAAAAACTTAATTTAATCAGTCATTTCACTAGCGTTGCAGTCAAAAAATATTCAGAAAGGTGGAAATTAAAATAAAAAAACTCAATACAATTTTACGTATTTTTTATTATTGAAAAACCTTAAAGTCGATGTATTTACTGTCCCAGAGGATTGCCCAGCCATGGGTAGACACGTGGGCACACGTTGCAGAGTTGCATCCAGTATGTCATCTGAAAAGAAAAAGAAAACAGTGAATTTCAATAACATGACATCACGCCTTTTATCTTCGAAGAGGTTGGCAGAGGTGCACATTATGCCACTGTACAATGTAACACCCACTTTTCACTATTTATGTTATGAGTCCCATGTAATAGGGGGTGAGACTATTGCCATATACCGGCCACAATTCCAGACTCCGTGCTACAACTGAGATTTTTTTAAAACCCAGTAGTACTTTGCCCGACCCGGGAATGGAACCCGAGACCCCTTGCCCGGCAGTTGCATTTGCGACCACTCGGCCAACGAGGTAGTGAATTTTAATGTAAGAAGGATCATGGAAGGTCAATGTATTCAAACCTTTCGGTCATTATATATCAAATTGTTGTAGTCTAAATACATATCTAAAACATTCATAAAAATGCCACTTCTAATACATACATAGAAAGTCGGAGCTTGCTCACAGCTGATTGGTCATTCAAACTTATAATTAGAAGTTTTAAATCTAGGTTTCAAAAACGTTTTCCAATCGAATGTCAGTAGTGTCTAAACGATTTTAGTAAGTAAATAGAACTCGGAAAAATCACACTTTCGGATCCACATCTTCATCCATGGGAAGCGGGTGTCTTAACCTCAGAGTCATCATGACTATCAGACTATCCAAAATGTATTCATTACTAGTATATGCGTTTATGAAGATGAAAGTAGCTTTGTGTTAATCCAGAACAATCTTCCCTTGTTCCATCTCGATCGTTTTAGCCGTTCTGTCGGGACTTAGTAACAAACGTACATACAGACTCACTCACCAACTTTCATATCTATATTGAGAGTAATACTTACGCCGTTGTGGGCAGATGTAGCAGAGCAGCTTGCAGCAGGACAGTTGGTTGGAGTGAATCTGCGACAGGGTTGCTTCTTGTACTGATCAACTGGAACGGGGTTCTTTACCCAGTCAATGACTTCGTGAGAGTTGACCTGTGGATATAAAATTATTTATTAATTTTGGCTTTTGTTAGGTTCAGATTAAAATCTTTGGTCTGACTATATCATACGTTTTCTAAGTCATAACCCACATTCCAGAATGTATGGAATGTTTGGACGTTAATGAAAGTGGGTCGATCGTACTAGTTACGTTATTAGCCCCACTAATCAAAGTCAAAGTAAAATCATTTATTTCAATTAGCCAATTGACTTTGACTTTTTGAATATCACATAAAATAAACAGTCTTAATCTACAAAGTGTAGATTAACTATGAAGACGAATGGGCAAGAAACTACATTGTTGGTCTTTATCAATCAATTTCACAGTTCAATTCTTGGTTACATTCAAAAGTTGGTTGGAGGAAAAGTTAGAGGAAAATTCTAGACATAATTTCAATTTCCGTGCTGTCATGGAAAATATAAATATTACTTGCCATCCTGTTCATTCAAGGTTGAACTCTATGAACACGAAGCTAAAGTTCAACCTTTATAACCAAGAAGTACAAAGTAAATCTTACCATAAAGACATCTTCCAAGTTGTTGATGATATCCATGAATCGGACAAAGGCGCGGCGGACGGCTGGGTAGGCAGAGATGAATGCTTCGTGGACGAAGAAACCGAAGGGAGCGCGGTTACCAAAGTAATGCCTCTCGAAGTTTGTTAGGATGAACTCGAACCATTCTTGCTCATTTTCACGGTCAGGACTGTAATACATAGAATGGGCAAATGATGAGAACTTTTATTTAAAGTTCCTAGTTATAGAAGGTTAACTAATTGACACCTGTATAAAAATAAGACAGGAACTCCTTATGCATATAATAATATGGACTGGAATACTGAGAATTTTAAATCAATAGACTGTAGTTTTTTTGTTCGAAGAGCTTGATCCAATCTTTAAACTCAAAACTCCTGATCTGTACTATAATTTGCGATCATTCAATCAATGAAATAAATTGAACTAAAAAAATTATTGTCATATTTAGCTTAGATCCTAACAGTACCTAATAATTATAAAAATACTTACATAAAGAAGCAAGCATCCACCATGGAACAAGGGATACCTTGAAGGTCAGACCAAGCAACCATAGGTTTGACCCAGATTCCAGGAATAGACGAGGTTGGGCAGGGTAGGACAACACAGTCCTGGCTAGATTGGTAGTCCAAAGTGTAGGGCCAGAGTCCAGGGTTGGTGTGGGCAGTAGTGGGCCAGGAGCAGTCGTACTCCAAACCATGATCAGCCATAACTTGGAAACTGTTATCTCCAGCCAATTGGAGGAAGGGAAGACGCACGCCTAGAAAGTTATTAAGTAATTAAGTGGAGGTATAAATGTTGCTATTTTCTATTACTATTTACATAACATCACCCCTTTCATCCCCGAAGAGGTAGGAAGAGGTGCACATTACGGCACTTAATACCACTGAACTATGTAACACCCACTTATCACATTTTCAAATAAAGAATTTAAATGAATAAATTTACCTTTGATGGAATCAGCAGGAATGTTGGCAAAGTGAGCCATTTGGACTTTCTGGTCAGCAATTTCCTTCTTCAAGTCATCATAAGTAGCATCACGCCAGTAGGTCTGAGGAGTCTGATGGCTGATGGAGTGAAGAGCGATTTCAAAACCGCGGTTGTAGAGTTCATTGACCAGAACATAGTTGGTGTACTCGTGGCTGACGTAGAAAGTAGCTCCAGCGGGGCAACCGTTGGTGTTGAAGCGGTTGTACAGGATGTCACGGTAGGTCACGATGTTGTTCACATTGACACCGTCGTCGAAAGTGACTGTGACGAACTGGAAAAGTAAACAGTTTTGTTTATTAGACTTGGTGGTTTTAAGGATATACAGTCATTTGAGGGTAAGTACAAAATAATAGGGAAAGCGATTTTTTTTAAGATGGGAAAATCATCGAGTGACTGCTCCCGCCTGGATGAGGCGAAAGGGAGTGTCAGACTCTTACTGACTAAAAACCACCCCGTTCCTTCTCCTGCACGTCGAGCCGGAGCCCCGGTTACCCGTTAGGTTCTCCGCGACATAGGAAAAGCGATGAAAGTGAACCATTCACTTAGTTTCAAGTACCTGCCCACTAAATTACTTGCCTAAGTCAGCCGAAATATAAAAATTTTCAATAATCATCGACTCGAAAAAAATAGAGATGTGTTAGACCAAATTGTTTGGCAAAATATTAGTGTATGTTTTCATGGACGTATTTAATGTAAATGACGTTGTATAAAAGTGATAAACAGTGGAATTCCATAAAATTGAAATCGAATATACCGGTGACATCAAGAAGGAATTGAAATTAGCTATGATTGTTTAATAATCTCTGAAGGAAAACGAAAATATGGGTGAAAGATAAGAATAACATGTTTTTGATTTAATTTTTATCGTGTATGTTTCATAATAAGTGGCAAACATTAATTGTGTCTGTTTTAAATTGCTTCACGATGGTTGAGAACATAACATAATATCACGCCTTTTATCCCCGAAGGGGTAGGCAGAGGTGCACATTACGGCACTTAATGCCACTGTACAATGTAACACCCACTTTTCACTATTTATGTTATGAGTCCCATGTAATAGGGGGTGAGCCTATTGCCATATACCGGGCACATTTCCAAACTCCGTGCTACTACTGAGATTTTTAAAAACCCAGTAATACTTTGCCCGACCCGGGAATCGAACCTGAGACCCCTTGACCTGGTCGCACTTGCGACCACTCGGCCAACGAGGCAGTCAGGCAGGCAGGTTAAGAACATGTACAAGTAGTTATTGGTCTCTTGGATTAGAATTCTATAGACCTTAGAATAATTGCTAAGTTCAAGGTATAAAATAAAATATAACATAACATCAAGCCTTTTATTCCCGAAGGGGCAGAGGTGCACACAGAAGTAACACCTATTTCTCACTATTTATGTTATGAGTCCCATGTAATAAGGGGTGAGCCTATTGCCATATACCGAGCACATTTCCAGACTCAGCGTGCTACTACTGAGATTTTTTTCAACCCAGTAATACTTTGACTCCATATGAATATGATAAATTATGGTATAAAATAAATGCAAAAGAAATAACGGCGAGTGTATGTAGGGGTGCATTACAGTCTTGCTTAAAGTAACATTCACTTTAATGGGATAGTTCGTTGAGTGAATAGAAAGGTCACTTGATAGAAAGCAATTGACACAGTGTATTTATACCCACAACACTACAAGTGTGTTGCTGGCCTTTTGTAAAGTGATTCGGTGTCTAGGAAGAATAACCCTTCCATGTCCATCCCAAAATATAAATAAATAAAGCAGGAGGCTGTATTGATTTCGATCAAAGTGGCAAGTCTAACTACACTAGCTAAATAAGCAAATGATATTAAAGTACACAAGTGTGTGCGCAAACACAAGTCTCTGAACCCGGTGTGACGGCAGACTGACACGACTGGAGAGAGTTCAGGCCGGGACCAAAGGAAATTCGACTGTGTTTCCAACCCCGTGCCTTTGTAAACCATCCCAAAATACCTACATGAAACATCAGGGTATTTACACGGTTTGTGGCTGATGTGATGATGATGATGATGATGATGATGACGTGATTTCTTTCAAACTTACCTGTGGAGTATCTCTAGGGTTCAAACCTCCAGGAATGTTAACGCTGGAACATCTGCAGTTTGGGAGCTCGCAAGCTTCAGGATCACATACGGGAGCCTCTTCTGCAAGTGCCACAGCAGACACAAGCAGCAATGCGAGTAGACTAATGGACTTCATCGTGCCGGCTTCACCAGAAAATGATATTCAACACTCCTGTTTACTTCATTATATAAAGAATTGTGTTATCGTCTTTATGTATCGATCAATGCCTTTTGATACACTTTTCATGTATCTTATCTAGATGCGGCGGAGTTGCTATTAGTTCAGTTTCCGTTTAGGTAAAAGATTTTTGATTTTGATTTTCGGTATCGTTTTGGATATGATTATTACCGGCTTTTTGCTTGGAGGTTTCTGGAAAAACCATTGAAGGGATTTTTGGTCATCTTCTCTCGGGTTGAGCCACTGTTAAATTTGTTTTGCACTTTATTATCATATAACCGTTTGTTATTCTTGTGCATAAGTCTCTTTATTTTTTGAACTCACGTTTACTTGATCTTTTCATTGATCAGGTGATCTATATGCTCGTTTACCTTTTATTCCATAAAAAAACCTACACAATCATGAAAGGTTCTCTTTTTATACGTACATACGTATTATAAAAAGCATAAGGCATAAATTGCATTTTAAAAATTAAACTCTATGGACTTTATGCCTTTAAAATACTCGTTGCAGTGCTAGTTTGATATACGCAACATTTAAAACTAATTTCAAAAATACTTGAAATCATATACTTAAAATACATAGAAATATGTAAAAACATTACAAACTTGATTGTAATCACAAAGAGTTGGATTTTCCATACCAATAATAACTTGAACGTTTACAAAAAGATTCCTGTTATAAACAGCATTGATTAATTCGAAGAAATAACTATAGATTGCCAGATAATTCATAATCTTTGTATTGGATCTGATTGACATCGATAAGTATTTCAATAAAATGCGCATACCGTCAGTAGAACTCTTCTTGGGGGTTACTATTGAATCCATCGACATTGGTATTGTGAAATTTCGTACTTTCTAGTTGCAACACTGGCACCTATTGCATTCGTATTCCGTGGATTTGTATTGAACTAAATGGTATTGAGTTTGACTTTATATTATGTACCCTGAATGCTATTTTAACAGCTACGATAGGCGTTGTATACTTTTGATATTGAATAATTATTGAGATTTTATTGGATTGAAATTGCATTGACATTGAGATTGGTTTCAAGAGTAAGCACCTAGAACCTAACGGGTAACCGGGGCTCCGGCTCGTCGTGCAGGAGAAGGAACAGGGTGGTTTTTAGTTAGTAAGAGTCTGACACTCCCTCCCGCCTCACCCAGGCGGGACTGCTCCCGCCTGGGTGAGGCGGGAGGGAGTGTCATCGAAAGGCTGCCCTTTCGATGATTTTCCCCCTTAAAAAAAGACAAATGACATTTAAAGGTTAGTCGAATGTGTGAATAGACAAGCCAATGTATGCTACTGACACTATAGTACCTATTCATTACTAGTTACCTACTCTACGTTTACTCGGTTCCTATAGATTTGTAACGTAATAAAACCGAAAAAAAATTCAGACCAGTAGCTCCAAATGAACAAACTCTTCAGGTTCACCATATTTTACTGTTTATTAATATTTGAACACGGGGAAGCCCGCGTTACTTTGCCACAAAAAGTGGGCTATTTAAGACCGTAATCTACCTTTATCACGATCCTTTAAGCCGTTTTGACGTCAAAGAGTAACAAACAAACAAACAAAAAAATAAACAAACAAATTTTCTCATTTTTATAATATTAGTAGGATAGGTTCATCCACTACAAAATATATCCCTTACCACCTGCTTAGAGGAATCTTTTTTTTATAGCAAAACCGGTATACGAGCAGACGGATCACCTGATGGTTAGTAATCGGCGCCGCCCATGAAACACCCGAAATACCAAGGCGTTACCGGCCTTTTGGGAATTGGGAATTTGAGGATTGTGGAGGATTCGGGAATTCGGTAGACTAGGGAGGGGGGTAATTGGGCCTCCGGTAACCTCACACATACGACGAAATACAACGCAAGCGTTGTTTCACGTCGGTTTCCGGTCGAGCCGGCCCATTCGTGCCGAAGCATGGCTCTCCCACACTTATACATATATCTATAGCATACTTCACTCCTACAGTATTTGTTCCAATTGTGGGGTGGGTCGAATGGAACTAAAAAATGATACGAGTCTGACATACTTCTTGCAGTTCATCTACATTCTTCTTGTTGAGGTTGCTTTACTTTTGACTTTACTGTCCACGTAAGCTGCACTTCATGAGCATGCTTTCGTCAATATTGACGTTTTAAAGGTGAATGCTGAATGCATTTTGCGTAGGAATAAACAAAACTCTGACAACCTTCATCATACAAAAAAAAACATATCATTATACGGTCGAATCGAGAACCTCCTCCTTTTTTTGAAGTCGGTTAATAATCACATTGTCATTTGTAAGTTGCATGCATTCGTCAAATAACGCGTCATTGACAGTAGGCCTTACAAAAATGTCATTCGACTCATTCGTGCAAAATTCAATCCACAAAATTGCATAATTCTTTTGTGTTTCAACTAAATCGCGGTTCTTTACATTTATATTTATCTTAATCAAGATACTGATACGAGATTACTTAGTCATACGATACTGGGTCAATTATTGCACTACGTCACTAATGAATGGCCCTGAAAGATTACACCCTGTAGGTAGAAGGAGATAATACTAGTTGAATCCGGTAAAAGAATGCAATTGAATAGTAAAGGAAATAGATAACGTACTAGTTTATGGTTTTAAATCTAGATTTAATAGATTTTGTACCTGATTAAAATTAAATACTTGATGTTGCTAATGTGATTTTGACGGCACTGGGTGATGTCTCTTAAGAGAGACAAACTCTCAGAGTCTTAAATGAAAAAAAAAATCTATTAAATACTATTATTGCGAGTATCCATGGTCGGCGCTAATCGCTCCGTCTGCACTTTTGCAATCTGTCATACTTATGTTATATTATGGTTATTGGTTCAATTTTTTATAGCACTAAGTATCAGCCCAGACCGAGTAAGTCCTAAAACTGCGTTGAGCCAATGAGATCCTCTAAATACTTGGTGCAATTTTTATGCTGCCTCCTGCAGCCTGGCTTACACAGCGAAACGCATCTTAACCGTGGTTTTACGTCGGTTTTCAGTGACGCCGTGGTATCACTTCGGTCCAGACGGCCCCTTCGTGCCGAAGCATGTGTTTTTATGAATATACGTAGTAAGATAATATTATTCCTGTAACTGCTACTGATAGGTAATACAACATAATTGAGTTACTGATTTCGATAACGCAATGATTTACTTCCTAGAAGTGAAGTTGATAATATTTTTATAAAAACAGTGATTGAGACGTTCATTGTTTTGCGTCGTTCTATTACGTGTTTAGCTTCGAAGGCTACATCAAAATTGATACATCAGCGATAGAATGAGCAGCTATAAGTTTTTTGCCAAAAGGAATTCCCAATACAGAACTTGGGCCCCATGCGGAGAGCTGACGGAAATTTACAAATTCGTAACAGTACGTAGATTCGTAGCAAACAATCACTATTTACATGAAATCGAAGATGAATGTTTCCGATGGTTGGTGGTATCGAAAAGGGAGAAGATCATTGTTATTTTCATTATCAACAACACGTACTGTTAAGAGCTGAAGAACTATTTGACCTCTTCAGTCCTCTGTATAAAAAGGGCTGGCTGGTGGGTTGAATCACAGTTTATAAGTTTAAGGCAGAAGGTCTTGCTGAATATCTGCCCCTTAATCGGCCTCTGGCTAGACTCCTCTTTGTCTGAACTCCTCTCTAAGTAGAGATATTAACTTAAAGGTTACCACAGGAACTAGCCCGCTTAAATATATAACAGCCTAAGCGTAATGAACTATACCCGTGCGTCCGGCGCGCTGCGTTCCGCGCGCGCCTGAACGAACTATTAGACCACCACAGATGGGCCCAGTAGGGCTGATTTCTAATACGGAGCCGCAGAAGGCCTAATGGGTTACCGGGGCTCCGGCTCGAAGAGCAGGAGTAGGAACGGGGTGGTTTTTAGTCAGTAACAGTCAGACATTCCCTCTCGCCTAACTCAAGGTGGGAGAAGTAATTGGATTATTTTCCCCTTTCAAAATAAATGCGTACTGAACTATACGTAAGAGTGGTTCTTTCCAATAAATAAAACCCTTTATCGATACTGCAGGGACAAGTAGGTGTAGCGATAAAATATATGTGTAACACTATTTTGGTATTGATGATTTCATTTCGTGGTGGTGGTCCGGAGGTTGAAATCTCGCCCGAAATTTCAACGGCAAGCACTAATGTGCCTTTTTCCGGGTTATATGTACTTTCTAAGATTACTTAGACACCACTGACAAACGGTGAAGGATAGCATCGTGAGGAAACCTAGGCTTATAATTTCTAATTATAAGTTTGTAATCGCCAACCCGCATTGAGCAAGCGTGGTGATTAATGCGCAAATCTTCTCCGTGTGTAGAGAGGCGTTTGGTCAGCAGTGGCCACTTATAGACTGTTGATGTGTGATGATTTCATATTTCATTTTCAGTTCTCTACGTAACATTATCACATTATCTCTAACATAGACAATTAATAAATTAATACTTATCTATTCATAATAATCTATAATCGGATGTTTTGTGATGTCATAATATCGCAAATGAAAATCTGAATTGATAACCCATAATAGAATTTTCGTGTTTAGCCTTAGGCATCCGGTTGCATTGATTTGATTATATTAAATTACTATTTCGTGTAATCGATATCTGAATATCAATGTGTGTATACAAACACCTATGTTTGTTGAGGAACTTTAAAATGACTGGAGCGTTTTTGATGACAATTTCAAATATGACAGATCGGGTCGAATCAACTGGACCACAAGAGTGAGAGAGAGAGCAATAAGAAATTGCAGGGTTAGAATATTTTACGTTGATTGCTAAACGATTTGTTTGATATATGGCTAGTATTGTTGTTGTTATCATCAAAAATTGTGTTTGAAGTCGTTCCTCGAGAGATTAAAACAAGACCGTAAACGGTGTTAAGAACTTCTTCAGCCACCGTAAGCACGCCTGCCTGTTCTACTCAGCACCCGACCAGAACCAGACCCGGGCGTGCTGCGTATCGCGTTCCGTGCGCGCCTCAAAGAGCCATCAGACCACCACAGATGGGGCGCAATAGGGCTAATGCCGATACGGAGCCGCGGAGAACTTAACGGGTTGCCGGGGCTCCGGCTCTAGGTGCAGGAGGGGGAAAAGGGGTGGTTTTTAGTCAGTAAGAGTTTGACACTCCCTTCCGCCTCACCCAGGTGGAAGAAGTCATTCGATGGTATACCCCCTTAAAAAAAAACCCTAGGTGTTAAGCCGGTTTTCGGTCATAAAGACGACATAATCATGGTATGGTAGTTTGCATAGCAATAAAAATGCAGCACTCAATATAGGTAATATCAATCAAGATAATTATCATAATAAGTCGTCATTATAATCTGTTGTTTTTAATCAATACGGCTATTTAGGCCAATCAAAGTTGTTTTGATTATATGTATTTTGACGCTACAAATTGATAGTGGGTGTGTTCTCAGAATTTTGGGTGCTTAAGTAATTTTGGACTAGTAACATGCAATATTAAAATTTCGTGAGACATACTAAATTAATCATTATGTTTACGGCTTACTCCCGTACACACTATTTGACGAGGAACTCGACTAGTTTCAAACCATGCTAGACAGGCCTGCAGTCGGCGAGCACGGATGACTCGCCGCCCGATCAGAACATGACCCGAGCGTACGGCGCGTCCGCGTGCGTACAGCGCGCGCCTTATGGAGTCATCAGACCACTATGGATCGGACGCGGAGCAGCGGAGAGCTTAAGGGGCTACCGGGGCTCCGGCTCGAAGTGCAGGAGAAGGAACGGGGTGGTTTTTAGTCAGTAAGAGTCGGACACTCCCTCTCG